GCGGGCCCCCCGGGGGGGGGCCAGCCCCCCAGCCACCGATGCTCCCTCTTAGAGCTGGGGGCACTGGCAGGCAGAGGGGCTGGAAGGGGGCACCTGAACCACTCCCCTCTCCACCATCTCCCGGGATAGCAAAGGCTCCAAGGCAGCACATACTGCAGCTCTCCTCGTCCGAGTTGTCCCCGCAGTCGTTGTCGTAGTCGCACTGCCAGCGACCTGGCACACAGCGGTTGTTCTTGCAGCGGAACTGGTAGGGCTCACAGGTACGTTCGTCTGGGATGGGAGAGGGACAGGGTCAGCATCGCCCTGCCATAGGGCTCCCCGCCACAAGGTGCCCTCTGGGCTCATCTCCCCAGCCCCTGCTCACCGCATTCCTCCTTGGGCTCGTCGGACCCGTCCCCACAGTCGTCCTCCCCGTCGCACTTCCAGCGCGCTGGGATGCACCGGCCCGAGTCCTTGCAGCGGAACTCATCCACACCACACGTCATTTGTGCTGGGGGGGGAAACAAGATGACACGAGGTGGGGTTAGCAAAGGGCAGGGCTGATGAACACCTTGTGCCAGCAGCCTGGAGATGACTGCAGCACCCCTGCTTGGAACAGAGGGGGCAAGATCCCCCCATTTCAAGCAGTTCTCCAGGGAAAGGTTGTCCCAGAGAGAAGGACAGCTCAAGGCAGAGCCACCACCACCACCACCCACTGCCCACAGTGCCTGCAGGGACTGAGAGGGACCCAGAGCACGCAGGCAAAAGCACGGGGGAGCTCCCGCTGTCAGCGTGGGCCCCGCTATCCCCGTGCAGGCTTCTTACTGCAGTTGGCAGGTTCATCTGAGCCATCGACACAGTCGTTGTCCCGGTCGCACACCCAGACACGGGGGATGCAGCGCTTGGTGATCGCGCACTGGAACTGGTTGGGAGCACAAGTCACCTCCGCTGCAGTGGGGAGAAGCAGAGTCAGGAGAGACAGTGGGGCAGAGCCCCACAAAACCCACCCCACCGAGCGGAGGATGCAGATCAGAGAGTCACAGGATGGTTTGGGTTAGAAGAGACCTTAAAGCTCATCTAGTTCCACCTCTATACCATGGGCAGGGATGCCTCACACTAGAGCAGGTTGCCCAAGCCCCATCCAACCCGGCCTTGAACACTGCCAGGGATGGATCATTTACCACCCTCACAGGAAAGAACTTCTGCCTTATATTTAACCTGAACTTCCCCGTTTCAGTTTAATCCGTCAGCTGCGCAATAGGCTCAGTGCAAATCCGCAGCAAATATTGACCTTGCCACTCTGAGGGATTTAAGGATTTCATTTCCACTAGGAAACAGAAGTGGCTGCAGGGTGACAGTGGCCAGAGGTAAGGAGAAAGCCCTTCTCAGAGAAGCCAGTACCCAAAGACACGCATCTGATGCAGCACTGAGCTCCTCTCCCCGACCACGCATGCTCCCCATGGCTCCCAGCCCCACACTCACGGCAATCCTTCTCATCCTCGCCATCACCACAGTTGTCCTGCCCGTTGCAGCGGAAGATGCCGGGGATGCAGCGGTTGGTGTTGGTGCATTTGAACTGGCTGGGCAGACAGACGTGGATATCTGGGAAGCGAGGCAGCACACTCAGAACCTGACACGTTCCACCTCTGCTCTCCTGGGACGCTGGGCTTGCGAGGGGAGATGAGGAACCTACCACAGTTGGCTTCATCCGAGTTGTCCTGGCAGTCGTTGTCCCCATCGCAGATGAAGGCTGGGTTGGTGCAGATCCCAGTGGAGCACTGGAACTGCCCTGGCCTGCATTTGAACTCAGCTGTGGGGCGAGTAAGACGGGGTGAGACGTGTGCTCTGGTAAACCTTAACCTCCCACTTTTCCCTCTGGGGTCCTCAGCACCCAACCGTGGGGCAGTGAAGGGGCAGCTCTGCTCCGAGAGCAGCAGTTGGCTGTTGTTATCCCTGTTCCCAAGCCCTGTTAACAGGGTGACCCTCCCCTGTGCCGGAGGCCAGAGCAGCAGCGGGGCTGGGAGGGACCAGCAGCTCTGCACAGCACACGATGCTGCAGGGCTGGCAGGAGCATGGCCGAGGTGCTGGGACACTGGGGTCACTCACGGCAGTCCTCCGGCTCGTCCGAGCGGTCCCCGCAGTCGTCCTCTGTGTCGCATTTCCACCAGAAAGGGATGCACTTGTCATTCTTGCAGACAAACTGCGATGGAGAAACACACCCTTGTGAGGGCACCGGGAGGGAGCACTTCACAGGCCTTATCCCACTGTCCCTTCTTCCCAGGCGCACCCAGGACATGCTGTGTCCTGAGCTGGGGGGCGAAACCTCGACCCTGAGCACACCCCACACAGCCCCTAGGGTCGGAGGGATGCAGGTTCTGGTCATTCTAGAGCCGGAGGGTGCCTGGCTCCCCTGGGCACCCCCAAACCACTGCAGTCTGTACGTGCTGGGAAGTGCCACAGGAGGGAGGTGTTGCCTGCGCCTGGAGAAGGCATGTGCAGACCAGCACCCAGATGCACAGCACCAGCGCAAGCAAACTGGGACCTGCCGAAACCACGGCACAAGAGCACTGGGCATGCCTGGGCAGGCAGGGCTGTTACCTGGCTGGCTGTGCAGTTGGAGACGCAGGTTTTGCCGTCGCTGCCCAAATAGAAGTTGGTGGGACAAGCACACTTGTGCCCCCCGCCCGGCGAGAGGAGGCAGAGGTTGCTGCATCCAGCGTTGTTGGTCTTGCAGGGATGGTTGGGAACTGGAGGAGAGAGCAGGGAGACAACCAAGTCAGAGCAAGGCAGGGGACCCTCAGCTTTGAGACCCTGCTCACCCCCTGCCCACCCTGGTGTCATCACATCTCGGCTCACCATCAGGCTGGCGGTAGGGGTGGTAGATGTGGATGTCCATGGGGCGGTGCAGCGTGCTGATGAGCAGGGTCTTGTTGGCTCCCGTGGTTTTGTGGGCCCGGTTGATGGACTTGGTCTCCCAGTCGGTCCAGTAGATGAAATCCTCAAAGAGGGTGAGTGCAAAGATGTGCGGAATGTCCTGGCTCAGCACTGCAACAAGGGGGAGCGGGCGGCTCAGCCCCATGCCACCTCTTCCAAGGAACAAACCTCTTCCCCTGCTCAGGGACCCAGAGGGGCCGGTGGAGCTGGGCACCACTCCCAGCCCTGGTGGCACCCCGGGACCCCGGTGCTCTCACCCGTGTGCCGGTTGGAGCCATCCAGGCTGGCAAACTCGATGTAATCCTCCCGTGCATCAGCCCAATAGATGCGGCTGTTGATGTAGTCGAGGGGAAGGCCGTTGGGCCAAGTTATCTTGGTGTCAACGATGACGCTGCGGTTGGTGCCATCCATGCCGATCTTCCCGATCAGGGAGTGGTCCCCCCAGTCTGTCCAGTAGAGGTAACTGGGGGTGGAACAGAAGAGAGGGGGAGGCTGAGTCCAGCCCAAGCCACAGCAGTGAGTGCCCATCACATGGCTGAACTGAGATACTGGGCAGGGAGAAGCAACCAAGAGTCCCAGAGGTGAGGAGGGAAGATCTCGTCCCATTTCCCAGCCTCTTGGACTATGGCAAGATGGAAGAGGGGCCACCAGCCCCATCCCTGCATAGAGGAGAGTCCCTCAGGCTCTCACCCGTTCTGGACATCCACCACCAGCGCCCGGGGCTCACGCAGACCCGAGTTCACCAGTACAGTGCGATAGGCACCGTTGAGCTTCGACACCTCGATGGTGTCCCGACCCTTGTCGCACCAGTACAGGTTGCCTCCCACCCAGTCCACAGCCAGCCCATCAGGGTTGCTGAGGCCAGTGCGGTGAAGGACCTGTGGGGAGAAAACAGAGTTGTTGGGGCTGGAGAGGGAGAAGAGAATCCCACCCTGCTTCCTCAGGGATGACAACATAGAATCATAAAAGAGTTAGGCTTGGAAAGGACCTTAAGATCATCTAGCTCCAACCCCCAACATCCCACTTCCTGGTACGCTGCCTGGTCCTCCCCAGCTCCCTTTCCTCACTCCTCTCTTCCCACCCACCGCTCTGCAGCAGCATGGAGCCCATCTCTGGTTGGGATGGGGATGCAGAACATCCCATAGCAACCTGGGCTGATGCCCTGAGCTCAGTGATGACCCCAAGCAGTCATTTGTGGTGTCTCTAGGGCCCTGCTGGGCAGGAGGTGGGTGAGGACCAGTGGCCCAGGCTGGGGCTACCTCAAGCCCCCACCTGAACGTTGCTGCCATTGATGTGCATGCGGCGGATCATGCTGCCCTGCGTGGTGACGTCTGTCCAGTAGATCATCTGCTCCCGGTAGTCGAAATCCAGAGCCACTGCATTGTTCAGCCCCTGGGAGGAAGGGAGAAGTGTTGGAAGAGCCTCCCCTGCTAACACAGCATCACGGGGGCTTCACAGAGACCAGTGAGCCCCCAGCCTCAACTCCTGGTCCCTGCAGCACCTACAAACAACAGGGCCCCTCTCCAGCCCCAAGCCCCTTCCTGCTCCCAGCTCCCTCCGAACCTGCTTGAGCAGCGTGTAGTTGGAGCCATCCAGGTTGAGCTTCCTCAGGTAGTACCGGTTGGCAAAGATGAGGAAGGGCTCTTCATCTGCACAGGGAAGCCAGGAGATGTGTCAGGGGTGTGGGTCCCACTGCCCTCCCTGCCCCACTGCTTCCCAGCTCTCCTCCACGAGCCTGGGGAAGCAGCTTTGCCTTGTGGAGCACCACAACCAACTCTAGCACCAGCAGCATCGCCAGAAGGGTGTCCCTGCCTCCGAGCCCGCTCTCACCTGTAACAGCTTTACAGCTGGTGGGATTGTCAGGTTTGAGCTTGTAGCCCTCTATGCACAGGCACTTGTAGCTCCCCAGAGTGTTGATGCACTTCTGGCTGCAGGGGTAGGTGGTGGAGCACTCGTCGATGTCAATGCACGTCTTCCCGTCGTCCTTCAGCCGAAACCCAGGACGGCATCTGCACTGCAGGAGGCAACTCAGAGCTGTTAGACACAGCCAGGGATGTGACAGGCATCACCACGGGACAAGCGGGCTCGGGCACAGACAGCTTGCAGACACAAGCCCATGTGTGCATCCCCTGCGAGCTGGTGCAGGACATGGTGCTAAGAGTGTCGTGGAGGAGGAGGGGAGCAGGAGAGCAT